GTTGTCGTGAGTGAGTGAGTGTGTGTGTCAGTCGTGTCAGAGCCTGCCGTCATCAGCAGGTGTGGTGCAGTGCGTGTGTGACTACTTGTGACCTCGTGAGACCTTATTCGTGTGCGTGTGCCTGTCGTTGAATCGTGAGTGTCTCCCATCGAGAAGTGTCCTTAGTAGAGCATCGAGTAAGCGCTATCTCTATAGCGTGAACCCCCCCCCTCAACAGTACATATGCGTACATGTATGTACACGCATGTACGATATGGCCCGCCCCAATGTCGGTTCGACAGGCTGTCGGGCCGACATGGGGGCGGGCCACCCATTGCCTCGCTCGGATGTCGGCTGGACGGACCATACATAGGTGCAATGACCTACGACCCACTCTCATTTCGTGGCCAGCCTGGCCAGGATCACGGCCGTCTCTCGCGGGAAGCAACAGAGCAGGGTTGTCTGTAGTGATGCAGCGATTCACTGAATGAATGAATGAATGAATTGAATCAATTCATTGATTGACTCATTGCTTGACTGACAAGCACACACTCATGTGACTCGACTGTCACTGCAGAATGGCAAGGTGATCCGTTCGTTTCTTGCAGCCGGCCGATCAAATCCCATTGCGAACTGACTATCGTGACACTCATGTGAGAATACAAAACAGCAGCAGAGTAACCATACGAGCGCACGCAGAAGTTCGTTTCACTCCGAGAAAAAGTCCGTTTCTAATGAGAGCGAATTCTAGACCCCGGCGGGACCGGGGGATGCACACGACAGCCCTTCTCCGTTTTTCCTTAGTGCAGAACACGTGCGTGAAATCCATCTAATGAGGGGTATGACGGGCATGCGCAACTGCACTGCCATGTACGTGTAAACTGCGATTTTGTGAGCAGACTGGGATGGGCGACGTCGAGACACATTTTGGTTGACGGCGTGGTGATGTCGATGTGGCACCGCATGGCGGTTGGCTTGGTTGCAGTTGAAACGTTTGCAACCGCTCACTTCTTCACGGATAATCAGAAAAGAGATCGTGTTCGCAACG